TTTTTTTCGAAATGCTTTCTGGCTTTATGTGTATTCTATTCTCCATGCTCTGGTGCCATTGATCAGTGAACTTCACATTGGCTATCAATGCAGAGCGCTCAAGTTGGAGGACGGGACGTTTTAGTTCATGTGCCTAGGTGCGTAGTGCTTGCAGACGGTGTTTTTTGTTGTTGTAACGGAGGAAGAAGACCCTGGGGCTGTACACAAAACCCAATAAAATTTACTTGTTGCTGAGTCCCTCTCCTCCAGGAATTATGTAGAAAAATATGGCTTCTTGCTGTTATTCAATTTGAGCATACGAGTAGGTGAAGTTGGCCGTAATATAGAAAAATATGGCTTCTTGCTATTATTCAATTTGAGCATACGAGTAAGTGAAGTTGGCAGTAACCTCGTAGCATTGAATACAAAACTTCATCAAGAACCTAGCCCTATTTTGGAAGCAACCGATTTATACCCACACACAAAAATGTGCGGAATCTTTGAGAAAAGAATGGAAATTTGGGATGAAAAAGAGTCAGTAGCTATGGGGAAGGAGGATACCTACCTAAGCGATCCCGTTTCTGGGATGCGCCGCGCATAAGCGTTTCATACAAAATAGTGGTGGCGTTTAATCCATATGTGGTCAATACAATGACTGGCGGTGACCAGCCGATGTACGAATCAGTGCTTTAACTCCCTTAGAGGTTCCAATAAGTCGACTAGGAGGGGTGAAGGCCTAGCTGGCCGGGACTGGTGCCGATCTGAGGCTCGATCCCCGGCCATGCTTTTGTGATAGTGCGGCACTTGCCATTGCACCACATTCGTCTCTATTTGCATGTATCAAATATCATTATAAGTCATATATTTTAATAATGGTCGCAAAGGTAATGCGGAAGTTTGGGGCGGAGAGTTACCTATTTTTCAGGTGAAACGAGTACGTTGGAACAGATCAATGAGTAACATTCTGGCTTCGCTAACTTCACAACGTGGAAGCCTTTGGGACATGCGACGTCCAGGTGGTCCGATTCTTGAATTTGCCGAGGTGCGCCAAAGAGTCAATCGGAAATAAATTAATTCTGAAGCTGTTGTTTCTCTTGAGATATGAACTTTCGCTCGGATAATAGCAAAATACCGAACTTTCACTTTTTCAAGATCGGAGCTGGAGGTGACTGGGCGGATCTTTGTTGGAAACCAGATGATTCATCTACGTTGATCATGTGCAGTCAGCTGGCACTAACTCCTGGCGTGCAGAAATGGGATCTTCGCTACCCGACGATGCCGCTGAAAGAGTTTCATGTGCATGAACGAGGAGTGACAGCCATAGATTGGTTGGTGAACCTCTTTATGCTCTTTCCTGCTTTGAATGTTGATTGAAAGCAGCTTCTCGGAAAAGTTGATGCCAAGGCTAGTTTAGCAAAGATCGATCTGTGAAAGGGCGATGATAGGAGCAATAGAGGATGATTTTGAAGGTGCTGTAACAGTCCCGGTATATGGAAAAGAAGGGTGAAAACTGGTAGTTGCCCTTTTCTTTTCAGTTGAGGGGGATAGTGTGTATCTTGAAGTACGGTATTACAAACAACTCTGGTCCTTGCAGAAACGTACCTAGTGGTAGCTTTGTAGCCTCTTGCAAGGAGAGCTCAAAATTTTTATCATTATAGCAACCGTTATCATCACAATGTACTTTACAATTTACCCATTCGATCAGTAACAGCAAAGTGGTAACATATCGAGCTGGAAATAATGTACATTCCTATTGTGGGAACTTTTTGGATTGGACCCAGTTTTTAGATTGGACCCAGTTTCAGAACCAGAGAGGTTCACAATCGTGTTTATATAACGAGAACCAGTATGCCAGAAGTAATTCTACTCATATTTGTGCTCGAGTGATGTTGGCTACCTGAAAGCGAAGCCGTAACACTCGTACACTACAAATTCCTCAATTTGTAGCCCTCGAAAAGTTCGAGTAGAATGCGGGCTTTCAAAAACAACAAAAAACAAAAGCGACAATGAAATTCAGATTCAATGAAATTGGAATGTGGAGATTTGAATAGCAAAGAACGTAAAAGTACCAAAGCCTACACAGATGCAAACAGTACTGCAAAAACCGTACATAATGCTAGATAAGACCTAGCGACTTGGCGTTCGATGTCCAAGTGGCCGTTTCGTGAACTTGCGCTCTTCAAAATGCTGCCTATATCGGTTTACGCCTACGAGAAGAATAGGATACTATGCTCTGAGAATTTCAGTCTGTATGGTGCCTATATTCTTGATGAGACAAATGCAAATCCCCAGCCGCGCAGCTCGCCTGGCTCGGCATACACAGCGTGAACATTCTTCGTAGGTATGCTGAAGAACCTGAAATCAAAACTGCCATGAAATGTATCTTCTCCACAATTACCACTAGAGCGAGCTCAGCTCTACTAAACACATTTCCCAACAATGTAGGAAATGGGCACGTAACTACGTCACCTGGATAGAAGGTTATCAGTTTCTGCCTATAGGGACAGTTCTTTTTCTTCAGAAAGCAATCATTGCTGAGTTCCTCGTTCGCTATTCTTCTCTCATTACATATTTTTGGGAAAGGCGAAGTAGGGGTACAATGAAAGGTGCTATCACTCCAGGGAAGTCTTCTGTTTTGCAGGGAGTTAGGCAGTTGGAATAGAGTAAGTCTCTGGTAGTCGGTTCTTTGACTATTTTCTTGGCTGCTTCTCGTGAATTTTCCATGACATGAGTGAAAGTAGCGCTTAAAGCTCGCACAGTAAAAAATGGAAACCGTATGGGTGCCTGGTTGCAACAATTGTTGTGAACATCAGACGATGTGCCACTATAATTTATTTCAACAAAAATGGACTTTGACAAATATTACTTCCCATACGGTACATGGTATACATATCAGTCGAAAGAAGCTTTTGAAACACGCCAATCTTATTTATAGCTGACAAAAAGGCATCTGGTGCGTATTCCCATAATTCTGATGTACTGCAGAGGGATAAAGCCTTCTATCGAGTCTTCATCAAACCCCTTTTCAATCGCTTCCCCAATTCTGCCCGCTTCCTTGCTTACTTTATTCATTTCCTTTGTACTTCCTGTTATTTCTACTGTGTTTCCCTTTCCATTACGCTTCATCCGGTTTTCTTTGTGATGCTTAGGCTGGAAACCTAGAGCATTTATAACTCACTTTTTTCTTATAATCTTGTATGAGCTTTTGGTGTGTTTGGCCTGAAGACGTGCTTGGGAAGCGGAATCAGAGATATGTGGAAGATGGATGAACAGGAAGTTGAATGTAACTAGTAGTGTAAACTTTTGGAAGGGCCGTGAAATATGAGATTTCTACAAACAATTTTTTGTAGTCGTGAACATCCGCTACTTGGTCTGGTTACCGACGTGATCAAGAGGTGGCTGCTGGATTTGAGCAGTTTCAGAGGTATTTGGAGGGTGGAAGAACTCGGGTGTGAGCTTGCGATTTCTCCCCGAGCCCGTCCCTTGTGTAGCAATCCCACCGAACTTATTACTTATGGCTTATGCCTAAGGTGGTTGTAGTGGTCAAAGGTGTTCGCAGGTGCATAAGTCGTCATTGGAATAGGTTTTGGGTTAGGTGTATAATTGAATTCTGCGCCGGTAATTATAATTTCTGATTGGAAAATGTTATTACATTATTTGTCGTCACCTAAAATTCATATTTTTATTACCCACTGGTCTTAGAGCAAAAGTCTCTGTAGTTGGTTCAGTAGTTGTTTTCAAAGCTAGGAGCAACTGCCTGAATACCTTCAACAACGGGCTGATCATTCAAGGGCTCTGTTATTTATTGGCCATTCCCGATTTCATAGATTTGGGAAAAATCCATTTTCAAAGGGTCTCCGAAAAGAACGCAAGATCGATATGGATTTGTCTGAGTAATAAACGTAACATAAGTAGACGAGTGCCCAATATTCATCCCTTCCGGTAGGTGCGGGAAGGTTGAATATTGGGCTTTTGTCTACTTATATCACATGTGATTCAGGATTAGAAGCATAGAAAGGTTTGAATGGAAATTGCGCCCATGCCATGACGATTAGTTTTGTTGTTTTCGGAGTGGTCTGCCATCAACCTACTACTGTATGGTATGTGGAAGATTTGCTCGGTTTAGACATGATCCACTCTCAGGGTCAACTTGAGGGTTATGTGAGTAATGGAACTTTTTCCAAATTCCCACGTCCTGCCGCAGTGGTTCCGCGGCGATCTCCATATCCTTCCATTGCGGTGCGGCGAGCGCGATACGCCGTTCGGGAGAAGATGCCGGACCCGGGTTGTATACAGTCGTGCCCCTCATCACTTCGTTTCGTTGGAATGGTCATCGAAGGAAAGTTTTCGATATAGGAAGACCTGGCAGTAGTTTTTTTTCGGAAATTTCTCACTATTTGGCCCTTCCTTACGCTGCATGTGTCGCCCGCATGGACCAAAAATTTATGCGGCACCGTTCTGACCTTATTTCACACCCGAAAACTTTTCTTACTTGGCGTGAATTGTTTGACAGATACAGAACTCATATGCCTTTGAAAAAGTAATGCTTCTGCAGTACTTCCCCATAAATTTTAATCCTTCACCTCACAAGGGTGGCGAGTTCTGGACAAAGCTTGGGACTCGACGGAATTCCCATTAGTAAGTCAGTGCAATAGTTCGGTAGCGAAAGCTAGTAATCGCAAAGGCTACGATTTTTTAAAGAAAAAACGGCGATATCGGAATAGTGGTTGAGTATTTTACCTGATATGTTAGTTAGAATGTTTCCAAAGTGATTTTTGTGATTGAAGTTTCCCGCGGTTGTCGAGCTCTGCAGCGAATACAGTCCATAATGCTTAGGCGAATGTGTTCAATGCAAAGGATATAAAGAATCCAAGTGATAGGCGTTGTAGTGTCAAGAATTACTACTCCGATGATGTTGACAACCTGAATGTTGACAGAATTCTTTCAGCTGTGGATTGGTGGCTTGGTGGGTTTAGAGGAATAAAAAAACCTCTACTTACATGGTTTTGATAGATGTTGTATTCAGTAAGGATTGTGAAAATAGTACTTGGAATGGCCAACACGAGGGGCAATAAGCAACTTATGAAGAATACATTGACTAAGTTGTTGTTCCAGTAATAGAAAGTAGTGGTCTGAAATAGAGAAATGATCTTAACTGGACCACTACGGGGTAAGGAATTTTGGCATATCGGCGAATGGGGTGGAGGGATATCAGATGGAGCATCCATCGCGCATCTGGGGATCGACACCCTCCTTTCAGGGGAACGAATGCTGTTCATCCGGTGTTCATAGGTGATCAGTGTTCCAGGTTTTTTTTTTACATGGCGAAAACCTGTTCAGCCCCTTCCTAGACTGCGGTGTGGCTGAGCCGAATACCCTTTCAAATGCTGCCTTATTTCTGATTGAATGTAGTAGGCATGACCCAATCAATGGTATTTATCAACGTCGAAGACTTTAGTCGTTCTTCAACGAAGGTACGCCGAGTTTACTATCAATGTGGAGGAACACTAAATCTGTCAAACAGTTGTCAGAATGTGTTTTTTTTTTCAAAATGAAACGTACCATCTTGGATGGACCGTCGCTGGTTGGCTTGGTTGTGGTAATGTCTATTTTTCGAATGCTACGAACTTTTCCCCAGACGGCCACATACATCACGAAGGCGATAACTGCAGAACCCCTAAAAAGTTCGTTCGTTCTTCAGATCCGAAAATTGTTCGAAAGATTAACCCATCTTTATACACGCCGTGCTTTTTATCTTTGCCCTCAAGCCTACGCTACTTCCCTTGAATTCAGTGATCCAGGGAACTTGACTTTTTCATAACTCCTTTTGCGGTTTTTTCTCCTCCTTTTGTGGCTGAGGTGTTTTCAATGATTCTCGGTCCAGGAATACAATCGTCTTTACCTTCGTCTCTGGTAAGGTTGCCACCGGGATTTCCAGAAACTCATACTTTTACTTGTTAATCATACATGTCGTTAGTGTACTGCGAGCAGTCAGTGCAGATTCTGCAAGAAATATTTACCCTTCTCTTCTCGGGTTTGACACAGTCACTCGTTGGCTGTCACCTCACCCTGGTCTTCATCAATTTCAACCCTGAACCAGACGAGAAATTATTTTCAACTCGAAGTGCTAACATTTACAAATTTGTCACTTGCGCAGCACTTGCAGTACGATCTCCAACATTTTGTGAGATCTTTAAAATCGTATCTCTCAAATTCGAAGGGACAGAGACATTGTTTGTTGTGAGACATCTTTTCTTTCCAGCGGGGATCTATTACCCATCGGAACTTTTTTGTTCTTTTTTGTGGAGGTCTATTTCACATAAGAAAGCTTTTTTCGATAGTGAGTGGCGTTACAAGGCGTGGCGCATCCGGAGATTTGATCACTTAATCTCATCCCCTATGTAACTGCAAAAGAAAATTCCTGTACGCGACTCATTCTCAAGCTCGTATATTCGCTTAATACTATCTGTCATCTACTTCAGATGAGATACAGGATACTGCAGTAAAGTAAATTTACCACTGGATCAGGATAAGTGCAATATTGGTCCAACCGGTACGTCGTACTGTAGCACAAACGTCGTCGTTCTGTGAAAGGGTCGAAGAAATGAATGTGTTGTAGATGGCCAGTGCGATACAAGTCAGTGGAAACAGGCAGTAGAGAGCGAAAACTCTGTAAAAGGATTTGCAGTGAGTCTCCTTTGAGCAGTCTAGTATCTTCTGAAAGATCCCCCTGCTGAAATACCTAGGGTATTGAAAAAAAAAACTTACTCAGCCAGAGGGATGTCGTGGTCGAAGAACGCCTTCAAGAATCGTTCAAAGGCATCAACAAAAGCCTGTGTGGCAATGGGATTGTAGACGAAGTTTCGGATAGCAGAACACTCCTGCACGCTGATCTGCAAGGAAAAATTGCTCGGTAAAGCAGAGGAGATTGTGCAAAGTGCTCTTTGGCTGAATCGGGACCATTACCTGATCTCTGTTGACGATACTCAAGTAACTGATATCGAAAGCAAGATCATAGAATGAAGCGATCACAAAGAATCCGCAATTTATAGCAAGAAGACGTCGAGGTCGCGTTTCAAGGTGCTTTGTCAGTAAAATACTGATCATCACGATAGTAATGAATACGGCGGTTAATATATGAATAGGTAAAGTAGTTAATATGGTCGGCAAATGGACTGTTTCGACCGATGTTGGAAGGCTTGCAGTCGTAGGCATTTGTCCCATAGCTTCCATCTGCTCTGAAACAATAGAAAATATGAAAAATTGCCTTCGTGAACTAAGTGAGGGGGCGGAGTTTCGAGGATTTCCCACCCCTTCAACAGAAAAACTGATATAGGGAGCATTTAGAAAATGGGAATTATCCTAAAGGATTAGGATTAAGGTTTCCCCGTGAGATGAACATCATCCAGTGAAACTTCCTGCCCGATTCACTGCCTTTGCCAACTGTTGATGGCACAAATGACGTTAGTTTTGAGGTGATCTAAAGGGTGATTGTTTACCTGATATGTTAGTTAGAAGGTTTCCAAGGTGATTTTTGTGATTGAAGTTTCCCGTGGTTGTCGACTGCAGCGAATACAGTCGACAATGCTTCGACGAATGTGAGCAATGCAAAGGATGTAAAGAGTCCAAGTGATAGGCGTTGTAGCGTCAAGAATTACTACTCCGATGATGTTGACAACCTAAAAGTGACAGAATTCTTTCCAGCTGTGGATTGGCTTGGTGGATTCAGAAGAATGAAAAAAACCTTGACTTACAGGGTTTTGGTAAATGTTGTATTCAGTAAGGATCGTGAAAATAGTACTTGGAATGGCCAACACGAGGGGCAATAAGCAACTAATGAAGAATACGCTGACTATATTGTTATTCCAGTAGTAGAGAGTAGTGGTCTGGAATAGAGAGGTGATCTTGATTGGACCGCTACCGAGTTAGTAATTTTGGGGTACACAGTAGCGAGTGGGGTGAAGGGTTATCAGATGGGATTCCATCGCGCATCTGTGGATTTATCCTCGGGCGCCATTCTCCAGGGGAATGAGTCCTCTTATCCGGTGTTCATGAATAATTTTCACAAAACTTTTTCACCAAAGCCAGCTTCTACTTTTGTTTGGCCCTTAGCAAGTCATTGGCTAAGCCAAATACCTGTTCAAATGCTGCCACGATTACGATTGAGTGTGGAAGGCATGGCTCAAGAATGGTATTATCAGCGCTGAACTGCTTAATCACTCTTGCTCATGAACGAAGGTACGGAGAGATTGCTTATCACTGTGGAGTATCATTAGGTCTGTCAGACAATAATCAAAAGAAGTTTTTTTTTCTGAGATGAAACTTACCATCTTGGATGGACCGTCGCTGGTTGGCTTGTTTGTGGTAATGTCTATTTTTCGAATGCGACGAACTTTTCCCCAAATTGCCACATACATAACGAAGGCGACAATTGCAGAACCCCTGAAAAGTTCGTTCGGTCTTCAGATTTGGAGATTGCTCGAAATGTTAACCCAACTTCACCAACGCGGCCCTTTTTATCTACGCCTACAGGCTTACGGAAAGGGCAAGGTGTGTATATTGGAATATATTTCATTTCTTTTCAAGAATTTAGTCATCCAGGAAATTTGAACTTTTTCACGAATCATTTTGTCGTTTTTTTTTT